ACTCTACAGCATGCAGACATGACATACAGATCGATACAGTAAGAATGCAAAATGCGGTAATCATTGAGATCAGATTGTACCCAGCGGAGGGTCTCATGCCGAGGGCATCGGAGGCTCCATTCGCACTAGTCGACATAGTGCGTTGCTTGAAGTCGTGGACCACACTCGATGCAGGACGATGTTCGCAGTGTAGTCCCACAAACGGATCACCAGGAAGAAGACGTCTTGGTGTTCCGCAAGCAATCACCGGGAAGAAGACAGGTTCCGAGAGCGATCATCACCAGGAAGAAGACGTACATGGACGAGCAGTCGCAGATCGCTCCCCAAAAACCTAATCGTCGCTCACCCCATGCAAGGTTCTCAAGCGGACGAGGGTTCCGAAGACACCTGCTCTCCCGCTACTCCGTGCGCGCAGAGGTACGAGACGGGAAGCCAGAGGGCTGCAGAGATGTGGTTTCTCTCAGGAGCGGTTGCGTAAGACTCAGATCTAGACTGACGGAGGACTACGGATATATGGCTGCGACAGGAAGGGAGAAAGGCAGCGGAGAATCCCAGGAGACGGAGAGCGGAAGAGATAATAACTGCCGCAATCAGTTCGCCTTCACCATCAAAGAGAGAAACTCCCGTAATTATGTGGATTTAACTGGAAAAAGACTGGCCACGCCCGCCTCGCTCGCCGCGCCACAACCATGGCCTCGGCCCACAACCCGGCCCGGCTGGCGGCGGCGGCGGCGCGCACGCGCGTGTGGCAAGCCTACGTTCTTTTCTCAGTTTCTCAATTAAGATGAATAATTTCCAACTATATAAGCTGAGTCAACGTTCAGTCAAAATCCCATACGGTATTAAACCATACAATGCTTAATGTTATGTACCATAGAGTTTTATTTGATTTATTAAATATTATACGGGCCAAGCCCATGATATATCCGACACTTGTCAGGGTTCTAGGCGAGGTGCAGGGCCCCAAGAGTGAGTTCGACCGATAGGACTGCACGCAGGCCTTAAAGGGCTATTCTTGGTTGCCATGCCCAGGGGCTATATATGACAGTCGGATCAGAGGAAAAGAGGTGGCTATGGCAGGAGAAGAAGAAATGAACAGGTGGCAAGGGTATTTAGACTGATCACATATCAAAATTAAGAAGAGATAAATAAGTTAATGAATTAGAAATATTCAAAATGGCATTACAGTTTACTACCATCCTTTGCTAATGGCACATCGATGAATAAAGCCCAAAGGCATCATGGTATTTGGGCGAAGCCCACTTTTGATAATGATGAAATTCCATTTTCTGAAGGCTGGAGCAAGCAAACAGCTTCTTGTTCCAACTTGCAACTAGGCAAACAGACTCTCATGGTATCATGGATGATAGTTTGGCAGCGTCCTTCCATGTACCAATCACTTGTCCCACAAGTTTGGCAGCACGCAGTTTGAATGTTTGGTAATTCCATATGTTGCTCCTTACGGAAGAAAAAGAAACGGAGGTGTGATGCTTGTCCAGTTTCCATGCGTGATGGACTTGTAATTTCATTGCTTTTTAGGTTGTGAAAGAAAAGGTTAATACTTGTGTTGAAAATACGTGGAATCGTTTCAGTCATAAAATTGAATGGCTACAGCATAACTAGATGACCTTCAAGCCCACCTGAATATCCTGTTCTTTAATCGTTATATGATCTAGTCAATTTGAGGCAGTTAGCCGAATGTCAAATATGAAGGGCACGAAAGTCGATGGATTGACACCATGAACTAATGGAGCAACTGCAACCAAGCGTGGCTAGATGAACAAATACCATAAGAGCGTTGACATATGAGTCCAAGATAGTAAAGACAGAACATGGCCACTTCCCAGCCTATGTTATTAGGTGCCACGATGTTGGTGGGCCGTGGCTTACTTCCTATGAATCCAGTTATTATTGTGTTCCTCCTCGACCAAGCTTTAACCAACCTAGACTCCCTTTCTTGCCACTATCTGCCGTTTATGAAAATTAGAGCCTGAACTGGAAGCAGAAGCGCCATGGAGAGCAAATGCACATGCAAACGCACATCTTTCCAGTACCTCCAAATCCTAGCGCGTTGACATGCTGAAACCAAATGATTAAGAAGAAACTGATGAATTGTACGTGTGCCTTGATTTTTGTTCCCAAAACTATAGCTTTTATGATATTGATACCTATGATCTCTCTAGCTCATGATACTTATGGATCATATATATGATCGATCTAAATAAACTATATCACATGCCTGTCTTATATATATAGATTCAGGGGTAGTGTACTAGTATGCGTGTGCCCATATGTTTTTCAACCCATTTTAATTCCAAATTTCAACTACTTCTGCACCAAGTCATAATGCGCTGGTGACACCTAGCTTAATATGCCAGAAATGCACTATTGACTGCTTTTTTTTCTTTGTTACTGTAAAAGACGATGAGTCATCCATTACAAAGATGATTCTGGGATTAAAATGACAAAAAAAAAATCAGACTTGACCAAAATGGATGGATCTCAGAAATTTCTGAAATTTCAGACCGGGATTCACTTATTTTGATCAGTCAAAATGTAGATTGAGCTAATATTTGGCTGAATTTTGACCAAAATTTGACCAAGAGGCAGGAAGGGGAAACAAATGAATTATAGATTGATAAGTATGCACTTCTATAGTGAAGGAAGAATTATTGGTTTGTTTGAACTCTAGACTTGACTAAAAGTTCAAATTTAATCGAATGTAGTGACCGATATAATGTTTCAGGCCTCACAGATACAGTAGCATTAGATTCTTGGTTCGAGTGGTGGTGCAAGAAAATACGGAAATTTGAATGCAGTAGATTAGAATTTTCAAGTACTTGTACATGAAACTAAAGTCGTTTAGCGACTTGTTTTGCTGTTAGATACATAGTCCTGAACAAATAGCATTTGTTCATATGATTTGATTATTTTGAGTAAAGAGCATATAATGGAAAGCGGAAGAGAATGCATATGTAGTGTATTGTACAATTTCAAGTTTTAGGGAAACAAAATGAACATCAGAGATGCCTTGCATACTAGATATGAGAACTTCCTGTGAACACACCAGCCATAGAATATCCCATACGCCGGAAAGTCATGCAGGGAGTACTGGTACCAAACATGCATTTTGAAGTTTGTCTTTGTAGCTCGGTCGTATGTCCATACCCCTTCCTCCCAAGCATGGACCAAATCATCAATCAGAGGCTCCATGTACGCACTCATATTATTCCCTAGGTGTTCAAGATTATCAACGACAAGAATATATTCTATCTTTGAAAGAGGACGCCAGGGGGAGATTGAGAGGGATAACGAACCTGGGCCAACAAGTGTATGAGGCAGCTGCCATTCCATAAGGATTGAACCCATTTGTTGCCAGCGCAACACGTACATTACGAGCCTCTAGAGCTTTCTCACGATGAATCATATCAAACCTTGTCCATGCTTGATGCACCGGCTTCTCAGGATTGTATCAACGTCCGTATTTGTGCCATGTCATCTGTTTCGCGGGTTCCTCAGTCATATAAAGCTGTTGGATCCTCGGTATGAGTGGAAGGTACCGTAGGATCTTCACAGGGACGGCGCGCTGCCTCTTCTGACCATCACCAGAGTCTACCTCTAGGAACCTAGACGATTTACACTTCACACAGTACTTTGCTTCCGCATGTTTTTTCCTAAATAAGATGCATCCCTTCGGACAAGCATGTCTCTGCTCATATGGCATCTTAAGTGCATGAAGGAGTTTCTGTGCCTCATACATGCTCTTTGGCAGAATGTGACCATCCGGGAGCAGGCTACCAACAATTGTCAACATAACATCGAAGGTTTCTCGACTCAAGCTAAATTGGGACTTTACAACATTTCATCTTTGTTAGGATGTTCAAGCTCTCTAACCTTGAACTTCTGACCACTTCTTAGTCATTGGAGAAATTATTGGGCCTCTTCCCAGCCGCTGTTAGAAGCCACTCCCCATCTTATGGTTTCTGCACTCAGGTTACCTCATATGGGTGTTATGATGTTAATGGATATAGATTCTGTTCAGAGAAATATGAGAGGAGAAGACTTGGGTTAACAACCATCAATACTGGTGTTTGTGTTACTTCATATGATGAAAACAACAATGCCCTTGAGTATTATGGTGTCATAGAAGATATCATAAAAATTGAATGGGAAGGCAGTTTGAAACTAGAATTGGTTTTATTTTATTGTCGCTGGTTTGATCCAACACCTAATGGATTGAGGCGTACGGAAGATTTAGGCTTAGTAGAGATCAAGCATGCATTAAGGTTGAAAAGTTTTGACCCATTTGTAATGGCTAGTAAAGTTACTCAGGTTTATTATCTATCTTACCCATGTAAGGATAGGGATCTATCTCCATGGTGGGTTGTCTACCAAGTTGCTCCTCATGGATGTGTACCTCTCAATGGTGCAAATCATGAGTCCATGAGTTCTGAACATGTAATACATGATGTCTATCAAGAGGATGGATTGGATGGTACCTTTGTTATTGATTTGGGGGAAGCATTGGATTCTCTAGTATCTTTGGGCTCAGATGAGATTATTGATGTGGTAGACTTGGAGACAATAGAGAAAGACACGGTTGAGGATGAGGAACATGATGAAGAATCTATTGATGAAGAGGGTAACACTATAGAGGAAGAGGATGAAGCAATAACAGATGAATCAGAGGAAGAGACTTATGATCATGATGATTATTGAATTTTTAGTCATGACTTTGTAGTGCTGTAATGCTATTGTGTATCACTGGGATAAAATGTACCCTTTATACCTTATTTTGATGTTAAATCTGGACTTGAGTTATGTATTATGCAGCTGTTTTCTATAATCTGAACTTGGTGATATTAAATCTAAATTTGGTGTTATGTAGATGCAGCTTGGTGTTATAGAATACAATATTCTAACTCATCGTTCCTATGCAGATGGCTCGTGGAATCTATCATGCACGTAAAAATCGTCTTCCTAGGAGGCATGGATCCGAAATGGGTGCTTTTCAAGAAACAGCCACCCAAACAAGTGCATCTCAAGGAACAACCACTACTAATGGATCCTCACAAAGGACTAGACCTGCTGCCCCTCCTGAAGTAGAGCCTCCTAAAAAACGAGGAAGGAAGCCAGGGACTAGAACCAAATTAAAACCAGTTCCACCATCTGGCCGTGTGGCTCTTATACCAAATGGTGACTCGTGAGTAAATTACCAACTAATTCGTACTGTTAGCTTTCATTTTTAGTTATTTATAAAAGCATCTATCATTTACGTACAGGCAATTTAGTTATGTCAGCTACAACTGCAAGCCCCCTTACAGATACACTACTCAGCTTGGTGTCATTCTGAAGAGAGAGTACCCAAGTTTGCTTCAAGAAAAGGATGAGGATGGTGTACTGATCATGGAGCGGCCAGCTCTAGACTGGCCTGATTATTTTCTGGGTAGTGTGAATAAAGAAGGCATGACAAATGGGGAACGTGTGCTCTATGAATTTTGGGTAAGAGGCATGTTTTTTGGTTAGTTAGGTTCATTTTCATGTGTCACAACTATGTTGGACTTCATTCTACTGTTAATACATTGTAGATAAGAACTTGAATTTCTTAACCAGTCTTGACAATTTATGTTTCTTTTTTCATATAAACGTAGAGAGCATATTTCCATTTCATATTGTTAACTGAAATTTCTTAACAGTAAACATGAATTATATCTTTTTATATTAAGGATGGTTGATATCCTTTCTGTTGCCTGCTGAACATTGTTGAAATAATAAACTGACATGTTAAGTTGAGTTTCCCTCTAGTTTGCTTGTATAAGTTGAAAGCTTTTGCTTAGTTGAAGCGATTTCCAGACCCTGCTAGGTGCTGGCTACCACAACTATTTTAATGTCATTTCCTGGTACACATGCAGCGGTTGTTCCAAGTTAACAAAGAAGATCAAGCAGAGGCGGATCGTGTTCTTGACAACTATTTGAAGAAGAAGGTGAGGGACATCATGTATCAAGTCCATGTGGATTGTGTAAAGGCATACTACAGAAAAAGGGGTGAAAGTTTAGATGATACACTAGCCCGCACAATTAAGCTTGAATACGAACAATACAAGGATGGCAGGTTGGGCTGGTTCAATGACGCTGTGTGGCCCGTTCTATGTCCCTGTTGGTGCTCAGAGGAGTCCGACAAAACGAAAGTTAGGATAGGAATGTCACTTCAGTTCTAATGATATTGCTCAAAACCATTGTAGCACCTGGTTTTAAGAATAAAACCAGATACACACCATATGTGAGCCTAGGAAGTCAAATCTCACATATAGCTATAAATAAGGGTAATATCAATAGACAATGCTCAATATATAACATACTTAGTATAAAGGATATAACCTTAGACAGCAAACAGCTGAAAGATAACTCCGATCTTCAGGTAAAGATTCCAATTCCACAGGGACAACTGACTGGTTGATCACAAGCCTAATTCCTCCAAACTCTAGCAACCTGGTACCCATCCGGGATTTTTATCCAAATAATTGAAAAATAAAGCAAGCGTAAGTACATGTCGTACTCAACAATTATAAAATAGGGTTCATGAGGCTTAAAAGGTTAACACTGGTTTAACTACGATTACCTTTTATTGAGTCATGATTTTAGCAATAGGGTGGCAACAAAGTTATCATAAGCCCATAAACACATGATCAGATAAACATGAATAATGAATAGCATAAACATTATTCCTTAGTGAGCATCTTTATCATCAGTATCATCAGTGTTCATCATCATTAATCATTAATGATCATCTATTCTGTAAATGTTCCAAGGCCGCTCGTGATCGTGAGCACGACTGATATACCAATTTTACACTCTGTAGAGGTTGCACACTTTCACTGTGAGTCATGATTTACCCTTTCGCCCGAGGTAGCTAATCTCTTGACCCACATCCAAGGAAGGTCAGCAGGGTTCACTATGAAGCCTTTGAAAGGTTCATCTAACAAGTTAGGGCCATTAGATTCACTCGGCAAACAGATGTAGAGCCCCCTTCCCGATGGCACAATGACACGTAGCCTATACACAAGGGGACATAGGCCGCACTATATCCGATTTGGCAAGCCATTCTTACACCAATAAAGGTAACCACTAACAAGCTAGAAAAGGTCCTCATGCTGAGCTAAAGCCAGAGCTATGTAGCCCTCACCAACTGGACAAGATCATAAAGCACCACACAAGCATCCTTGCAAACATACATGAAGCAAACAATAGATCTAAATTAGAACAGTACACCAAAAATAAAATCAAGATGAAAATTTAGTAAAACGAATCTACGTCGCACTACGAACACACAAACGCGAAAAGCACGCTAATCGGAGCTTCGGTGAAAAAGATACATCTACCGATAGATTTGCTTTATACGCGGAAAAGAAAACTATAGGCTTCATTTATTTTAACTATATAAAAGCTTATCTAAATTGAATTAAGTTAAATTTAGATTCGAATTATAAAACTAAAGTAAAACAAATCATATTTTATTTGTAAAATCCAGTTGCATAATTATTATTCAAATTAGAGCTTAAACCTTGAAATTCTAGAAATAGTGACATGGTAACCATTGTTACTAACGCGTAGATCTCGTTGCTCTGAATCTAACGTAACTTGAATAGGTCAAAACGGAGCTAAAACGCAGAAGATATGAAATAAACAGCATTTCCTTTATTAAAATAATAGATTAAATCTAACCTCGAATTTTAAAAGTTGAAAACATATATAACAGTAGTATGAACATGTAGATTATGAAATAATGAACCTAACGCAAGTTGAACGGATCAAATCGGAGTTAAAACGGAGAAGTTATAGCTAAAACAAAATCAGTGGCAAATATGTAAATAAGTGAAAACATATTTTGGATCTAAACCGAAGAAACTACGCTTTCCAAAGAAGAAAATGTAATATGTGATTGTGCTTTGGACCGCGGGTTTGAAAATAGAAAACTGGAGGGGCTCTTATGCAAAAATAGCAGCCGAAGGGGTACGGGCTCATCTGAGCCTTTGGATCAGGAGCGGACGGTTGAGTTTAGATGGGAAAAGAGAGAGGGGAGCCGACCACCGGTCGGAACAGCGCCAGGGCAGGGTCACAGCGGCGTCATGGCCGGACCACACCGGCGTTAACCAAAATGGCTATTTTTGGGCTTAATTGATTCAACAAATAGCACGGGAAGACAGAGGGGAAAACGGCGAACTTACTTCGGTGGATCTCGGCGGCGTGGAGGAAACGGAGGCGGCGCTATGCTTTGCGAAGCGGACAGCGGATGGTGGCGCTTGGGGCTATGGCTGCTCGGCGCCTCAGCAAAGGGGTCTGCAGCGCTGGAGCTCGGATTGGGAGGCATGGGGCCTCCTATTTCTATGAGGCGAGGATGGCAACAGATGGCAGCGTAGCAAAGCCAGACATGGCGGAGCGGTAGAGTTCGGCTCAGACTTGATCTGAAGGAAGAAGGAGTGCCTGACTAGTGGGCCAGGGTGGTTAGCGAGACAAGGCGGGGGATCGGCTGCCACCGAACAGAGGGATAGAGAGATGGGCGCTTGCGTGGCTTCGGCCTGGGCCGCGGGGTTGGGCAGCGGGAGCGGCCAAGTGGGAGGGTGGAAACTAGGCCAGCCAGCTGTGGTGGTGGGCTGCGGGTGAATAAGAGAGAGATGGGAGCGGGCTTGCCAGCACGAGGAGAGAAGAGAAGGGAGTGGGCCTGGGCTGCAGCTTGGGCCATAGCTTGGGCCGAGGCCGAGTAAGAGAGAAAGGGAGAAGGGAGAGGAAAGGAGCGCCTAGGCCGGCTGCTGGGCCAGAGAAGGAGAAAGGGCGAGGCCGAGCCAGAGAGCAGGCCGGCTGGGCTAGAATGGAGAGAAAAATATTTTTCCTTTTTTTTGTTTTCCTATTTTCAAACCACATTCAAATATGAACCAAATGCAATTTCAAATAAAGTTTTGAATATGCTTTTCAATTCAAATAAAAGTGTGCAAATTTTAGTAAGTTTTCAAAAATAATTTTTACAACTTTTTAAATTCTTTTATTTTCTAATTCTCTTTTCTTTTACTTCAAAGCCATTTTTATTTTCATTTGCAAAAGCAATTTTAACCATTTTAAATTTTCAATCCAAACCACTCAACCAAATAAATCAAATGCAAGGGCATGTATGCTCAAACATGTTGCTACCTTATGATGAATTTTAATTTAATGAAAATTTTTATTTTCCTATGTTTTCATGAGCACAAAAATTCAAAATTACCTCAATTTACACCTATTTCAAAAGGAGCAAATTTTAGGGTGTTACAATTCTACCCCCCTTAGAATGAATCTCGTCCCCGAGATTCGGAAGACGTCGACTAGGAGATAGGGATACTCCGTCTTTGGATTCTTCTTTACTTCCTTGCGTAGTTCCATCGTCTTGATAAAGATACCGCTTTACTTTGGATACCTGTTAACCTTACTCCAAATAACTTACCAACCTGATTCCCAGATTCTAACAGATACTCTAAACAACGCTCAGGTAATTCCAATCACTAGGCCACCTTTCCTTTAATACCAATTCTCTTTCCTAAATTATTTATCTTCCAATAGAGTCTGACGAATCTCTTGGTCAGAAGGAGAATCTACCACTAATCTTTAAAACACTAATGATTTCAGTCAAGTTGCTAAAACTTGGAATACAATTCTTAGTCCTTGGTGTCACCCAAAGCTTCTTAGCACAATTTTCCGTTGCTAAGGGCATTGGCCATGACTTTGCTCCTTGAAGTAATAGCACTTTTCTAAGTCACAAGCAATTTCATTTCAACGAGGATATCACAAGCTCAAGACCAACTTAGTGAAGATGTCCTATAGATTCTTGTGATCCTCCTAAATGTCACTCTTACTTCCAAGAAGATATTACTTCCATGCTCCACAATGGATAACTCCAGATAACTTGTTAGGTAGTTCAACTCACGCTTCCTTAATTGACTTAATGAACAAGCCACTACTTTTTCTTCTTGCATAAGGACACATCCCACACCTTGACAGGGTGCATCCTAGTGGATATAAGGCTCTTGTCCTGATCTGGCAAAGCTAATGCTTAGGTTTTACTCCAACCTCTTCTTGGATTCCTTCAAACACTTAGCTGAGGTCTCTTGATCCAAACTAACTTAAAAACTTCTCCGGTAGCTTTATCAACATCTTGGTGGTCTTGGATAAACTTCCCTCTAACCAAACCTCATTATTTAATACTCTGAGTTCCTCTCACATCTTTGGGTACCACCACGCTTCTGCTGCGCAAACTAGAACATATGATTCTTCATCTTACAAATTCTTTAACTTGGCTACCCCCTTAAGAAAAGATAAACCAGGGGACACCAAAGAATAGCTCGCATCTCCTTCTAGATGAGCTAACTAATATCAAGACGTTCTGTCATCCCAATGATACTCTTGTGTATGGGCAAGAACAAGAAATCTAGAATTCCTCATGAGTAGAAAAAGAGCAGCACAGTAGAACAGCTGTAACTCTCATTCTGTTAATCCTATGATATTGTAGCTTATACTGTTGGAAATCTTATCAAATTCTCCACAACTTCTTTATAGAACACTTTTTCAAATTCTGCAGTTCAGAAGGTCAAAAATAGTGCACAAGAGAAACTATTCCTGGTTCCAAACAGCACAGATGCATCGCCTTGTGATTTTCGCATCTCCATAACCAGAATAGCTATCAGGCTGATTCTTGCCCTCAGAGAAAGATATTGAAGTCTACTATTGTCTAGAATTTTCTCATGATTTCTGATCGTCCAAAATCACAGATATAAGCCAAAGAGCGCAGGCTGCTCCGAAAAGACAGGATAGAGGAAACAGGAGATAACCAAAACCTGACTATTTATTTTATTAATCCTTATACCTTAGGCCTATAAACTAAATGAAATTGTGGGAACACCCAACAAGATCATTGCAATCATTACAAAGGTTCAAAACAATCATAAGAATAATGACAATTCAACAAGCAATAAAGGTGCACAACTCAATCATTGACTCAACTTGCGATAGTATCATTTTTATTACATAAAAGGGCACAAACTCTAATTCCTTAACTGAGGTTCTTGGGTAGTCTAGCATGACTTCTTCATTCATCACTCTCACCGAATGCTTCTTTTGGGTTGGGTATCACTGACACTTTCTGGTAGCAACCTCGTAGTGATCCGACTCTGGCCACTTCCATGGTACAACTGTT